CCAACCTAAACCTCCCCCACTGCAACTTGAGACCATTACTCCTTGTTCTGTCATCTGGTACCACTGAGAACCGTCTAGATCCATCCTCTTTTGAATCCCCTTTCAGGTAGTTGAAAGCAACTATCAAATTGTATGGAATGCAACGTAACACCGGGGATCGAGGGGTTTGGGGTGCAGAAGGGGCATCTGGGCTGGGGCTAAGGGGTTCAGAGTGCAGTGGGGGATCAGGGCTGGGGCAGCGGGTTGGGGTGTGGGCTCCAGGAGGAAGTTTGCGTGCGGAAGGGCGCTCAGGGCTGGGGCAGGGGGTTTCCAGCCAATGTGAGCTGAGGAGCCAGTGCTCGGAGCAGTGCCTGCGCCACAGGCAGGGGTAGCATGTAGAGCCCTCCTGGCTGCCCTGTGCATAGGAGACAGCGGGACATGCCAGCCACTTCCGGGAGCCATGCAGAGCCGGTCGCTGTGGCCAACTGGACTTTTAGTGGCCTGGTCAGCAGTGCTGACCAGAGCTGCCAGGGTCTCTTTTCAGCCAGGTGTTCAGTCAGCTAGCAGCAAGGCAACAGCCGAGTTCAGTGGTTCTCTGCTATTGATGACTCAGCTGAAAGCACACAACTTTTTCCATTTAAAAAAACAACAAACATGCCCCTTATGTGATTGCTTCAGAATTTCTGAACACTGCTTCACCTCAGTGCCAGAAACCAGGCACAAGCACTGCCGATAATGGAATAAAAGCCCTCTCTGATGAGACCGGTGACTACTGGTGCCTTTCCAGAGAATTAAACTTAAACACCTATCTTACTAAACATGTGCAACCTGAGTTTCTTGGACTGTAGAGAGAGTCTAATCAGGCTAGAAAGGGGTTTTTACAAAGCATGCAATAGTAGACTAAAATGAGCCTTGACCATAAATGTGGTCACACATTTCTGGTAAGACTTGTTGTGCGCTATTCTCTGAAAAGATAACACACCAAACTCAGTGTAAAAGGAACCCGTGCATTTAGCAAACTTGGTATCCTCCTCCCACCTCAAATATTGCCCCAGGTAACTATTTTCTGCTCCCTGGCCCTCCCAAGGGTTTTCCATGTTCACGCTCAAAACAAGTCACTTTGGAAAGCCAGAAGTAGCTTTCAGAGCCATTTTTCAGGCTTGAATTTGTCTCATTAAACTAGAATGTTACTCAAGAAGATTGAGAAAGGTACTGTTTAGACACTTTTACTTCCTGTTTCTGTAGAAAGCCAGTACTGCAAGTGGCTACGAAATAGTCCTGAAGGGTGTCCGTGTTTTTGCTGAAAGGGTCCAAAGGAGGACAGGATGGGTGCATTTTCTCAGAATATAGACAGGCCATTATTCTGCTGAATGTAGCCTCAGAATATCATCACACATCTGATTATTGGGTCAGGAAAAACAATTTGCAAAACAAAAATCTAGGCTACCCATCTTACTACGCTAGGATGACTTGCTCAGTAAGGGTAATATTTTATCTTCTTTCAGGAAAAGAATGCAGCCAGGACGAAAGCACAGCTGCAGCAATCTTCACTGTTCAGATGGATGACTATCTAGGTGGGAAACCTGTGCAGAGTAGAGAAATTCAAGGACACGAGTCTACTGACTTTGTTGGATATTTCAAAGGAGGGATTAAGTACAAGGTAAGCAGTCAGCTAGGAAAATGTTTCTCCAAAACCAAACACAACTCCCCTCCTTCCCCCCCAAAAAGGTCAAAACATATCTTTGTTGGATTCTGGGATACGTTCTGCTTTCTACTTAGCTTTTTAATACAAAGTAACCATATTAACACAATTAATGACTATTAGAACTTTTGAAAAAAAATCACAAACACAATTTCTTGACAATTTTTACTGGTATTAAAAAGAAAACAAAAGAACCATCTTTGCCTGTGGTAATTATATAGGATTACAGTTTACCAAGGTTACTCATATAGACTAGTACCTTTCTCTGCAAGTAGCATTTATTTCAGTGGGAATATTCTTAGCATAAGCTATTGCTTGACATAAGAGTGGCAGAATCTGCGCAATAAAAAGTAGGCATGAAACAATGTTTCATGGAGTACATGAAAATATTTGAAGGTCTGTGTCTAAGGGTGTCCCAGCTCACAAAAAGGGTGCCTCCATCCACTACTTCACATGCCTGCTTGTGATAGGGGAACCAATGGTTCTGTTCAAATAAGCTCTCAACTTCTTAAAATTGCAAAACTGGGCTGTTAAACCGCATGCGAGCCTGCAGTCTTGCAATTCTTGGTACTTTCTGCTTCTGGGTAAGCTGTCAATACCAGAGGAATGACCCCTGCCTCACTGGTTTCAGGCACCTCTGCTTTTGGCCTCGTACAGAATCCAGTGTTTGGAGGTGTATAAAAAAGAAAAATGTGGAAGATACCCAGAACCTCCTTTGGCTTTTGCTTCAAAAAGTTTGGTTTCCATCTTGTATGGAAGGGTTTGCCCACTCCTGTTACACTGGAGTTTTGTATGTGTAGTAGAGCTGGCTGAAAAACAGCAAGCATTTTTCATGAAACTTTCATTGAAATTTCAAAAAGTTGAAAATTCCAACCAGCACCAGTGTCTACCTCATTTCCAGATGTAGTGCGTCCAACAGCAATAACTTCTTATCTGTGGTGTTGCCTGCAGTAGGTTGTCATAACAGCTGCTACAGAAATTCTCCTGGGCAGCAGTAGCTAATTAGTCATTTGGAGGGATGGAAACATCTCTGGGCATTAAGAATATTGTTTTGTTAATTCAACTGCTGCTTGCTGAGAAATAAATAGTCTGTGCCTTTAGGCACAACCCTGAGCAAGGGGTGTTGTGTGAACTACACAGCTCCAGGAGTAGCCTCACGACTCGTAACTCAGTCATAATTCTTATTTTGCTTCTTCCTTGAACTGGAGATTAGCAATTTGCTACTGTTCTGACCTATCAAGTCAGATACTACCCCCAGTCTGTGCTGGCTCAGGTACAGTGGCTATTGAGCAGAGGAGCCGGAACCCAAGTTGCACTCATTCCCCACTTCTCCTTGACCATTTGCTTGAGGTAGGGAGTAGATGGGGCCCCTTGTTAGGGGTCTCAAGTGCTTATTCCCCTGTGCAGGCACATAGGCCAAGTCAGTCTAGCCCCAAGGGAATACATTTAAACTCACAAAAGCTCAAACCAGTGTTTTAGATTTTCCCTGTGTGGGCAGCACACTGGGTCAGATTGCTTCCTAGGTGGTAATCATCCACTTCAGGGACAAGGAGATTACTCACAGAATTACCTTGGAATTGTCTCTCCTTCCCACACAGAACAGCATCTTGAAACCAGGACATCTCTTGAGAACGGAGGAGGGTAGGGTCATTTGTAGAGCAGTGTCAGTAATGGCTTTTTTGGTGTGCAGACAATTCTGTAAAATCAGCGGTGGGAAATCATTTCGGTCAAACTGAAAATGAATTTTTTCAAATAAAATATGGTTGGTTTGTATTGTGTCGAACAAAATGTTTTATTTTGACAAAATCAGAATGTTATGATTTTGACCATTTTTTAACATTTGATTTTTTTTTAAAAATGAAATTAAAGGAAATTTTGAACCAAACTCATTTTTGAATAAAAAAAATTCAAATGTTTTGTTTCAACTTTAAAAAAAATTATTTTAGATTTCTTTTGAAACAATTGAGCAAAACCAACATGAACTCTCAGATCATTTTAGTGTTTCCAAATCTGCATTTTTTTCACCTGCTAGCGGGGAGTTTTGCCCATCTCTAGTCATCTGTGCAGAGGCCTTATGCCTCCATACTTCCTCCTAGCCCCTATGGGCTCCCCTCTTGGGTTCTGCCCAGACAGTCTGGGTCAGCATTACCTTATGCTGGTTTTCCTCACATGGTTGTGGGGAATAGTGACAGAGGGAGCAGCCAGTGCCATTCTCTGCTTCCCGCATTCAGAGGGTCCCCATAGGAACAGGGAAGGGATGCAATGATACTGATACCCATCCCTTCTGTGGTAGTTCCACACACTGGTGTATCTGAATTACAACTGCATCCCCTCTGTTCACAGAAGTGCAGGGGTTGATCTGACCCATTGTCTCTTTTTTACTGGCCTGCAGTCAGTGTTGGTAATCCCAAGCAGCATGCCACATATCTCTCATTTCGTACGTGTCCGATGTCTGGTTTCTCAATGCTGCTGTAGAAAGCAAACCAAACTTAATCAAAGTTTCCATATTTGTTTTTTATGTTTAGGCAGGTGGTGTTGCATCCGGATTTAAACACGTAGTCACTAACGACTTGAGTGCACAGAGGCTTCTGCATATTAAGGGCCGGAGGGTAGTGAGAGCTACAGAAGTTCCTCTCAGCTGGGCCAGTTTCAACAAAGGAGACTGTTTCATTGTTGATCTCGGAACTGTAAGTTTTTATAGAACTAAGGCTTTGAAAAATAACAGCAACATTCCTCCTAAGGTCTGAATGATAGAATGAACTATGTAACTGAACTTGTCACGGTCCCATGAACTGAACGAAAGACCCAAGCTGATGTAGTATCACATTAGGATTTGAAGGTCCTATGATAAATGACTCACAAAGGCTAACTTTAGAAAGTTAGTTTTATTTTCTTTACCGATATCAGAGTCTTGTATAAGCAGATTCTGATTTAGGACCCAGTCTTCCTAGTCACTGAAAGCTCTCGGAGTATAGACCTTGATGTCAGTATGAGCAGGATTTTACTTAAGTCTTTATTGAGTTGTCTATAATGACACCCGGGTCCCTTTCTGGCTTTCCTGTCTTGCCAGGCTTATACATTTAAAATGGCATTCTCCAAACTGTATGGTGGATTTGGTCTCCTGTGTTCTGCTCTCCCTGTGTGCATGATGCCTATTGATATCAGGGGCAAAATATTGGAGTTGAAATTCATTTGTGGAATGATGACACAGTCTTTGCCTTAAATGCAGTTCTTAATCTTCATTATCCCTTTTCATTTATTCTCTACAAACAATGCACTCGAAACATAACCGTGAAATGAATTGTCATAACAAGCTTACAATATATATTAAACAATGATAGGCTTGCTGTAGAACTGTTTAGGTAATCTGAAACGAATTATAATTCAGAAGACACTTGTAAACAATGTTCATTTAGGGTTGAGAATATTTAAACCTTTAAACATGATCCTTTGAAGAGACAGGAGAAGGGGATTATGAGAAACAGTCCTCTACCTTGAGGCTTTCAAGTGAAAATAAACAGACTGATTTACAGCAGATGTCTTCCTCTTTATCTTACATAATTGCATATCCATACAGAAGTCTGCCTGTGTTTCCAGATCTTATCTGCACTAGTACAATGTTGCCTTCATGGAATTAATGTCTGAATTGTAGTTTAATGTTTTTATATTAAAACAAATTCCTGGGATGTAATCCACACTAGTTAAACATTACATCAATTGTCATCAGTTTAAACTTATTCACAAAACTGACACTGACATAGTTAAGGTATGAGAACACATGAAAGAAAATAACTGGACTTTCCTCAAGATCTGCAGCAAAGAGTCTAAACTCACATTAGAAACCTGACTGATTCTTTACTCTGAAAGAGAATCCTATACCTCTGCCGGGTATGCAACTTGGGTTAGGTAATATAGACCTGACCCTTTTGGGGAGGCTAGCATAGGCCCTGATCTGGGGGGTTTGTTTGGTTTATGCTTGGTATGGTTTCCTCCGTTTCTTACTCAGGGAAGATATTGGAGCATATTGCCATCTTTATTGGTTGTCTTGTATTTGAAAGTGTCCAGAGGCCTTTGGCTGTAATGTCTTTACAGCTTCGCACTCCTGCCAAGGTGGTGCCCTCCAACCATGGAATAAATAACCAATTGTTAAATGCCCACACTATTATCTGGAAATGGCATTTTGGGATTGGACAAAAGACACCTGGAAGAGCCAAATCCCCTCTCCAAAAATAATCCATTGACAGATTAGAATTCTGGAGCAAATAAACATGAATGGAAAATGCTGTATCTATAGCTGTGCCATCTCAGGGCCTGATCTACCCATGAGGTACTTGCCCCTTGCAACTCCTATTGACTTCTGGCCTCCAGATTCTTCAGGTGCATTATGGGGCTAGAAAAATTTTATTTCTAGCAGCACCCTTCTCCCCTCTCCCCCCCCCAAAAAAAGCAATGATTGCATCCTAGCTCATTTTCTATTGCTTTTGTAAAACATACTTTTTGGGTGGTGAGGATAGGAGATGAAAAAACAAAATATGTTGACATTTTTAATATTTAAATAATGTGTATGTCTGGTTCAGAGCTGTTTGAAAATGGTTGATTTGTAGGTTTTTCAGAAGGTTTTCTGAGAGAGTGGGCCAGATCCCCTTGAGCTGTGGGAGGAGCAATCTTGCCAGCCAGCCATTGGCTGACTACAGGATGACTGAACAGGAGGAGTGGGGTGCAGAAGGGCCCTGGAACCCTGAAAGTATATTAAACAAAACCAACAGGCTCTTAGTAGTGAGGACAATGGAGGGAGGCGATTTGCATGCAGATGTTCATTTTTCCATAGATCTGTAACTCCTTTGCTTTGTCTGAGAAAAGTGTAGTGTCTGATTTAAGAAGTTCCTTCATAAAGTCTGTATATTCCCTTGTTTGCCTATCATAAGATTCCCTAAGGGTTACACAGTAAAACCAGAGTACTTAGGAGGATGGAGCTCTGGGGACGGCATGTTTAAGCAGTTGAAGAGACTCTCTGGGAGGGAGGGGTGTTGCACTGATCTTGTAACTTAGTGCAGTTGGACTGCATGGTGCCACATGCCAGGGTGGGGTATTTGAGAGGACGTCTGTTCCCCAGGAATGTACCTGCTCCAACCCAGTAGGCTTAAATGTACATGGGATCAAAGAGTTTGATTCAACCAAAAGGAGGAACTCAGTCAGGGCTGTAACACCTTTTCTGGACTTCTGGGACTTCAACGAAACATCTCTACTATTATTTAATAGTATACACTGCCTTGTGAAGACTATCAGAGGCCTCTGGCAGTGGGAAATCTGTAAATCTGTAACAGAGAATTATAGGACAGGTTTTACTGGGGAGTGCATGCGCAGTTACTTTGGCTTTGCACTGTTACAGTAAATGTACACATTTACTAGTGCACATTCAGTTAGTCATTTGCCCACATATTAGAATTAATTTTTTCCTCCATCTGACCCACATGGTTACACCTCTTCAGTTTTCTGTTTGTATTTACAAACTGCATGTGTGTAGCATAAGCAAAAAGGGACCTGAATCTCATTTCTGTGTCTGTCACCTTTTTTTTAAATGTGAAGAAAATAGACATGGTTGGTAAAAATTCATGAGCCCCATAAGTGTGGTTCTACTCTCCAATATAATCGTGATAGCCAGAAGGTAGACGATGAGGGATACTGTGACTGTGAGTGTATGGCATCTTTCACATTCAACTCTAGGGAAAGCAAAGCTTACCAAAATAAAGTCAGTTGGAGCAAGAGACAGTATTATAGTGAAACATAGGCTAAGGATATGTGAAGTCCCAGCGAATATCTCTGCAATGGAAAATGCTTGGTGGTGGTGGTGCTAGACATGCAGAAGATTCCTGCACACTTTCAGGTAACTAGCAGTCAGAACAGTGCTGGATTAAGGTATAAGCTATCTAAGCTATAACTTAGGGTCTCACAATATGAGGGGCCTCTAAAAAATAAAAAACGGACTCCATTTCAAATTTTATCAACTGATTTTGATAAATAAAGGAGACCTGGGAAAAAGAAGATTCTAAATATAGACATTTTCATTCAAATATGACAAAAATATGCACATCTGGCCACACAAATACCCTTACCCTTCACTAATTGTTCATTATTGACAGGCAAGAGGCCAGGGCTGAGGGGAAAAAACAATAATTGCACTTGTAAAATTATTATTTCTATGAGTAAGTCTGCTATCAGTCTCCTAAGGCAGCATTTCGTTGGCCAGCTGCTACTGGTAAAATTCTGACCATGTCTTCATAATTTATTTAAATAAATAAATCTCACTGCCAATAAAATCAGGGAAAATGTGAGGTCGGAGATGGCAATGTTGTGAAGCAATCCTACCAAGCTCACACTCGTATGTTAGTGTGTTCGTTCTTCTTTTGATCTGTACATACGTACAACTGTGTATTTTAGTGTGCACGCCGTTTTCTGCTTCATGCGCTATCCATGCTTCACATGATTGAGTTTGCAGGTGATGATCTTATGGACTTGGATCCAGTGGATCTTGAGGAGGATAAATTTTGTGTTGGCTTCCCTCTGTCAGTTTCGGGAACCTTCACAGTAAATATCAGAGTGCTGATGAAAGGATAAATAGAGGGTTTTGAGAGAAGTGAAGGAAAATATACATATATATCAAAATATTCTGAGTCCTTAATTTGAAATAACTTGCTCACCATGTGCATATATAATTTATAGGCTATTAAAGCCTATAATATTCATTATATTTGCTTGCATATAGGCTAGTTTTTCTCACTTTCTCAGTGCCTGTCTAGAGATTAACAGTCTTTTTTCTGGTAAATTCTTTCTTTCTTTTTTGCACATCTAGCTTGTTGTCACTCTGTGTCTGACGTGTTTACTCAAGATTAATTAGTGGTCCTAGGGGAGACAGAGGATAGAGAAGTGAATGTGAAGAGAGATGTTTGCCTAGAAAAAAGACTGGGATTTTCTGCTTGGCTGGTTTGGAGCGTGCAAGATAATAGGTAGTATGCTATGTAAAAATTCTTATATAGACTTTTATAAATCACATATATACATAATACATTGTATTTTTATAGTATGGCAAAAGAAAAATCCCAACAATTCATTGTTTCATAGCGAAAATTAAATCGGAATAAAAATGTGTAAATATATAATATATATGGTCTGGATAAACTTTATATTTCCCTAACAAAATTAATCAAACATTTTTTCATTTATTGATATGAAAAGAAGGATACTTTTCCTTATTCATGATATAAAAAAAATTATATATTCATTCTTGTTTTCCTGTGAGAATATAGCACTAACTTTCACAGAAATATGTTGGTAAAATAACACCGCTTTTTTGGTATGTGTAGAATTTATTTATAATATAATAAAATTATTTTTTTTACTGGTTTCAATAAAAATTTTCTGCTACTAATTTTAGTACCAATGCTAGGTAATTCAGCATAACCTTCTATTAAAAACACAACAAATCTATTTATTGGAAAAATACAACCTGCATACAATTTTCTGATGGTTTGCTTATTACTTGGGTGTAATTCGTATCAGTATAACTAATAGTTGAGCTTTAAGCCTGTGGGTTATGTGCATCATATATCCTTTATTGCCTCTTGTATCCTCTATTGCCATCTTATATCCTCTTATATCCTCATTGCATATTCAGATAAGGAATTTCACATTTAGATGCCTCATCAGAGAAGAAAATTTTCCTGAGAACTCTTCTGGTACATTGTATTTTTACTATATTTTTTTGATTTTGTATTTTTTTTTATATTGTTTACTTCTACTTTACTTAGGTGGAGTACAAGCATCGATTCGGGGATCGATTGTCGCGTCCCGACGAGACGTGATAATTCGGTCCCTGAGAGATCGATTTCTACCCGCTGATTCAGGCGGGTAGTGTAGACGTAGCCTTACATACGCAATTAGTTCGAACAATTTGTCTAAAATTTATTTCTGTCATGTCATCGTTACAGAGAGGGCTACTGAAAATGAAGATTATTCTATTTTTACAACTTTGCCTGTGTATATATGCAAATATAAAGCTTTTGTGTTTATATATTCAATGTCCTTTCTGTGAAGATAATAAACTCATTAATTGTAGTTAGCCTGAGGTAAAATCCTAAGTGAAGACAAGGCAGTTTGTAGCTTTCACCAGGGCCGGCTCTAGGCACCAGCAAAACAAGCTGGTGCTTGGGGCAGCACATTTTTAGGGGCGGCATTCTGGCGCGGGCCATGCCGCCCCTAAAAATGTGCCCCGGCCGCCCTAACTCACCTCCGCTGCTGCCGTTTGCGCGCCGCTGCTCGCCCTCCCTCCCAGGCCTCAAACCCCGGAGGGAGGGGAAGATCTCGAGCGGCCGTGGTGCGCGAAACAGCTGATTCGCGCGCCGCGGCCGCTGGGGATCTCCCCCTCCCTCCTGGGTTTGAGAGCCTGGGAGGGAGGGCAAGCAGCGGAGCGCGCATCAGCTGTTTCGCGTGCCGCGGCTGCTCGGGATCTCCCCCTCCCTCCCAGGTTTGAGAGCCTGGGAGGGAGGGGGAGACCCCGAGTGGCCGCGGTGCACGCGCTGCTTCTCCCTCTCCCTCCCTTCCTCCCTCCCTCCCTCCCTCCCTCCTAGGCTTGAGAGCCTGGGGGGGAGGAGGCAGGGCTGGGGATTTGGGGAAGGGGCGGCGTTGAGGCGGGGCCGGGGGGGGGGGAAAAAAAAAAAGAGGGGGGGGCGGCCAAAATTGTTTTTGCTTGGGGCGGCAAAAATCCTAGAGCCGGCCCTGGTGAAAGCTACAAACTGCCTTGTCTTCACTTAGGATTTTACCTC